TTTTGGATGCTGTGCAAATCATCTCGAATTGCTTTAGACCTCTGAAGAAGACGATAGCGTCGAAACGTTAGGCCATTGAATTAATAAATCGTTCCATCTAACAACCTCGCACGGCACAAGAGTATTTAAATAATAAACAACTATGCCGAGGTTAAAGCAAGAGGGAAGTTGGAAACTTGCAAGTACGGTCTTTTATAGCTTCCCTAAAGCCTTAGTTGGTCTGTTGAAAACGTGCAGTACTGCCGATTTTCTTGCAGATTTCAGGGCGGTTGAATTGTAGAACCTTTTAATGTTTAGGCACTAACTTCAGCAATAGTGAAGACTCGCAAAGTTTCAGAAGTGTCTGATAATTATGGCGACATGCGAATTTTATTTTTATTTTAATTTTTTTATAATTCTCGAGCATTGCTCTTCGAAGGCGCAACGAGCAATTAACGGTTGTAGCTGTTTTGGGAATGTTATTATATCAATAACACGTCTCCGATGAATGTTTCAAATAAAATTCCTTTTGTTTCTGTTTATTTAACCTTTCCAGTGCCTTCATAGAATGTTCCGAATTCAACTGTGATTATTTTGTTGAAATATTTCGAATTCACAAAACGTCGTCAAGCAAAATAATGAAACTTCCACGGTCGATTGTGCATGCACTATATATCCAGTGATATTAGTTTATCACAAAGGTGATCAAGCCTCAACGCAAACGAACTGAAGCTTGCTGGGATATTGGTTACGGTTTTTGGAGTTCTGACGAAAACTACAGAAAAACCATGCTAAAATTTACCAAAAGCCGGACGTGGATGTTTGTTTACTCCGTTGGTACTCAAGAAAATGGGAAAACTCTCGGGAGAAAAGTTGCTGTGTAATCTTGCTACGTTATAAGATGAAGAAAAGTATAAGCGAGTAAATCAGGAAAACTGAAGAACTCCACCGTGCAAAAAAAAAAGGAATCAAAAGCGAAACACTTTGAAGATTGTATTGGTGAACCGCATCAAGTTAGTGGAAGCGACTGTCTAGGCAGTGAAGAAGACAACAAAAGCATAAAATCATATTAGGCCACAAATTAGTTCGGTTTGATAAAGTAACTGCTTTGAATCCAAGCTGCACGGAGTTCAATGAAAATCCGGGCAATCGATCTTGTCTCCCCGATATGGCAACCTGAGAGGCTATCCCCCAAATTGAACCCAAGTGGTTTGTGTGCATAAGCGACAATTTTTGGCGAGGTCTAAGTGGCCGATTCCAGTGACTCGATCCCTAGGGACGACCACTTTGTGCAAGACTCTGTAAACCATCCTATCCCTGTATTCATTGATTCATCCCTCCCACAAGATCTACATGGACCCTTTTTTTTAACTTTTCAAAACTCATGTCATCTTTTACATCGTTTGGAAGCATCAGTTGGAGCATTCATCCAATAAACATTTTTTCGCACATACATTGTGTGTCTTTTTCGATTTTAATAACTTTTAAGTCATCTAACAACCACGAATGGTGGTGCTGAGCCTCTCTAAACAGGCCACATTTGACTTTGTATTCTTAGACACATATACAGCTGTCGTAAAGTGAAACCACTTCACATTTGCACGTTCATAGTCCATGGTGCTTTTTTGAGGAGTTTAGAGCCAGTTGACCTTCTAAAGGGTTGTCCATTATTGAGTGGAATGTTATTCACAGGGAAACGAGACTCGTTGAGGTGTTGCGGTAGGATAAGATGTCAACAAAGCTCACGTTCAGCGATATGGCCAGAGCCTTCGTTGAGGATGAGATAGAAGTGCTTGTCCAAACCCTGGGCAACAGAGTGTTCTCAGTTTCCATATAAAGCGACCTCTTAAACTCTACAACAACATGGCCAAAACCTCATCATTTTAATATACAAGGAGGTCATCAATTGGAGGAAAATAGTAAGTGAAAGGGAAGTGCAATACTATCTAGTTCAAATTTCTTAAACTGAGTTACTACAGCTGAATCTTCACTCTTCATACAGCTTCTCCGCTGTGGTTACCTACTGTGAGATCATTCACATGCAGCAGATCTCTACTAAATGTAGTCTTGTGTCTTCCCACCCAAAGGGTCCTATTCAAATTGGGTTGGAATCGGTGGTTCTTCGCAAAGATCGACCGACACCTAGCAGCCTTTCTCCTTGCGTCTTTAATTCACGTCATCAAAGTTTTCCCCTTTGTATGTTTAGTCTCAAAGCAAAGGTCGAAGAATTCTTGTTATTTTTTAGATGATAGAATGATAAGTCGCGAAGCGTATATAATCCTCGGCGACAGTATCCAAGCAGCATTCAGGGATTCCTCTGCGTTCTCTGATTAGTCTCTCATCAACCCTCTTTGGCAAGACTCTCTTTAAAAGTTGTCATCATCCGACCATTTCCTCAGCAGTATCAGATCTTTTTTCTGTTTGGGAGCTTCAGAACCGCCTTGTCTCTCTGTAGGATTGCGCCGTGCACGCAACTTAGGCTCTGAATCTTGCATTCTGATTTTGTAGCCTTTCGAAGACTTTCAGTCGCCCGGCCTTTATTGTTTGTCCTTTGTAGATAGAATTCTTCACTGGTACATCATAGGGCGAAAGTTTTCGCTGAGCAGGGCAGGATCAAAATTACCAGGGGCTTCTTTCTTTGCTATTCCTACAACATACCAGTTGTCTCCTCCTAAATTGGAGCTTAGGGTTCTCTTAAGAAGTCCTGATTTTGGACCTTTCTCAGCACTTCTTTTGTAGCTCAAACGAACAAAATTCTGAACGTTCAGCTGACACGTTGCCTTATGCTTCGTAGGGCTGCCATATGGTGTAGTTAACCGAAGGGCAAGAATTTCGCCATTTTCAGCTATGTGGTTGCTACTTCTGTTGCAGCTTTTATTGCTGGATTTTTCCGTTCACGCCGCTAACGAACCTTACACAGGTTTGCTACCTTTGTACTAGTTTCCAATCGTATACCCCAACGGTTAGATCATCCTCACTCATGTAAAAAGAGGATATAAAGCAGATAGGAAAGCTCCTCCTCCTATGGGTAGAGCCTCTGAGAAACCTGCTACCCCCTACCTGATTAACTTTCTGTCAGCATTGTACCTGATACTGTAGGCTACTTCCTAGACAAGGAAATGGGCTTCACTCCTTCAGTCGCTCCGGGAGATATTCTCATCTGGGTGTCTTCTTTAAATTTCGAAACGCCTCATTAGAATTTTAGTCAGAAACCGTGGGAAATGATTCGTATGAGGATCCGTGCGATTCAGGATAAATTGGAAAACTCGTCCATGAACAGACCATGCAAGCTGTATCCTTGATGCCATACTTATTGATTTTTATTTAAGGCATTGACTGGAAGACCGTTGCTGGATGTGAGGAGAAAAGAGAGGAAAATTTTTACGTTCTCGGATGTAATCGAGTTTTCTACCGCTGTTATGATGTAAGAAAATCCAATGATAGTTCGGTTAAGACAGATCTTCCTTACAAAGACTGAGAGGCACTTGTCTCAGGGAAAAGCCTATGAGTACACCTGCCCGTCGAATCTGTTCTTCGATCCAAGAAGGAATCGCTGTAACCACTGGGACAAGACGAACGTATGCGTGAATGAGGCCGAGTACAAAAACAAATTGGTTAGAGGAATGTAGGTTTATACTTCCGACTCGGCGATTGAGCACTGCTTACTCTATCTAAATTGAACTTTTTCCTAGAAAACCATTCGATTGTACCGGACGTGAAGGCAGCTTTGAGCACCCTGAAAGCCCTTGTGATAATGTCTACTACACCTGCGTTCATGGACGACCCGTTCGACAACAGTAAGCGACAAGTCTTGATTGATCTAAAGTTGGGATCGGCTCTTCTTCGGACTTACAAACCTCCACAGTAGTTCGAAATGGGCGTTAGGTCCACATTCTACGGCGCTGTCGAGGTTCACCATCCAAGGCCCTCAAACGGTCACATAGTTCTATAAGTTACCTTCCCAAAGGGGTATTCGACAATGGTCTTTCCGTACAGCACCTACTCAAGGGAGCGTGTGAGAACATGACGACACATTCAGGCTATCAAGTGCAAGGCTAGACGTCCTCCAAGTGAACATAGCTACGCCCCCCTTCTCCATGATGGTAGTATCCCCCATTTCGTGGGTGATCAAGAAGTTGAGCCCTGAGTCCTGCTTCCTTTTGATGCAATTCTGAGAGAAAAAAAAACGAAAAAAACCTATTTTTCATTTGGTTGGATGAAATGACTTGTCTTCACTTCCCTACTACTTCAGTGATTCTTGTGACACCATTTTAACGACAGATTCTAGCCGGTTTTATGTTAAAGTCACCCCAAACAGATCATGCCAATCACATAGCCTCGACATGCAGCTAAAAAAATACCCAGAGANGGCTCGCATAGAAATAAAATTGATTTCTCGATAATTTCCTGACACTTCAGAAGAATTTCCATTTAATTCAGATGCCGTGAAGAGCATGTGTTTGATGAGAAGACAAATCGTTGCGATTTCAAGCATAACGTTCAATCATGTAAAAATGTCAAAAGCAGGAAGATAAGGTCTGTTGACTATTCTATTCTATGTTCTATGGTCTGCTTGGTAAGCATGTAAAAAGGTCCGAGAGATTGTCGCTCAGTCGATCAAGGGTTAGGGACTGACCAATAAAAAAGGCGCTATGATCACATTGTCCCCGCCCACAAGTTCTAATTGTTTTTATTCTAATTTTTTGTTTTTAGCGGACCAATTGGCCCACATCCAATGCATGCTTTCTCCGATCTCAGTGCAACTTCAGTGAGCAAACAGATTTTAGATTTTTAGACTATAAAACATTGTAAACTTAGAAAAATCCTAAAATCCTCCGATTTTGCAGGGCATTTTCCCTCCCGCACCCCCACCATTCTCCTCTCCAAACAGTCACGGTAAGAAGGTCTATTTCTATAAACCCTAATGATCAAACCTGTCATCAAAGCGAACTATTTCAGACATGTTCTGCCTAAATCGTCCCGATGGAGCATACAGTGCTGGAGATTGTCTGAATGTATTCTGGAAATGTTCCAATGGAAAATCTTTCCAGTACCAATGTCCTCATGTATGTAATGGCATCAATTTATACTGTTAATAATTGGTCGTCCTATTGAGCCTCTCTTCATGAGGCCGTGAACTAGATAGAAATTCGTAACTTTGACCCCACGTTTTGGGATGCGACATGGTTCCGACCAGTAGTGGCTTTCCAAGGGCTAGATGATATACGAGCCAGAGCATTACTTTTTAAAAAGACAGGTGTGCCCATTGACTTGTGTGGGAGAAATGAAGGATTTAGCTGACCCTTATGGATGGGGACCAGCGAGGATTCTGAGGTTTACAACCGTTGCTGGACCGCTTGGTGTCCTTTCTCGTTGCTCCACCACCGCCCTTGTGTTGCCTACCCTTTGGCTTGGGAAACTGGGCTTCACAACAAATCCGTACCGGTCACAGTTCTTATTTACACCCAAGTTCTTAAACAAACTTTATTTCAATGTTTGGAACTCACTTTATTTTGTATTAACCCATACTGAAACTTTTCGTTGCAGGACCTCATCTACAATGATTACGCCAAAAAGTGCCAGAAAAGAGAAGATGTTCCAACTTGCGTAGACCGAGAAACTCTCCGCAAAAATTTCGACTGCTCCACAAAGGTACCTTTGGGTCGTATCTACTCAATAAAATGGGCCTGAGTAGCTCAGTATTCATTCCCACCCTCTTTGATTTACAGTGAACCCTTCATAGTCTCCCAGATGGACGAGTGAAGTTCTGAAGTTTGATTGTTTTTATAGCTTTGAGTCGGCTGTTCAAAGTGGAATGTGAAAGGTTGACACCAGTGATCGCACTGATTCAGATGGCATCAGGGTGTAGGTATTGGTAGGGTACGTGTCGGCTGCCGGAGTCCATTGGATCTACCCTCTGGGAGATAGGAAAGGTTACTGTGGAAGGGGGAGAGAGAGAGGGGGGGGGGTTTAGCCATAACTATTCTTCGTGGAAACTTATTCAAAAGTTCGATTTCTAATTCATCAGGATATCTCTGCCATTCTCCAAAACCAAGAAGAACAGCTATAGTTGAGCTTTCTTGATAATTCTATTGATCCAGGTTGATGGCCATTACGAGAAGGATCGATGCCAACCATACTTCTATTCCTGTGTGGGAGGAAAAACCGAAGTACAGGAATGCCATACTGGGCTCGTATTTGATTCACGTATTTCGGCATGTGACTATCCGGAAGCTTGCAGGTAGGTGACCTGTGCTGTGGGTAGGTCTATCGGAAGCTATGCCAAGAATCGACTGAACAGGCTGAAGCTGGGGTTACGGGACCATTCCAGAAGATTCTATTAAATCCCTTTTTTCAGGAGTTCACAACAAACTTTCTTTGAAACACCTATTGCTGCAGCTGATCATGGTTCCATCAATGAGAGAAAATCAGAGGTTTCGTTTCTGACAATTCCTTGACATTGCTTTCAGCAAACATACCGAGGAGAGTTATTCCAGCTGGGACCATCCATTCCCTTCCCTTGCGCTGGAGGAAAAGATGGGCTTTTCGCTGTACAGAAGTGTTCCAATGCATACGTTCAGGTAGTTCTTTCTCTTGATACCGCTTACGGTAACGGATCAAATTGTTATTTTTAAGTTTATTGCTTATGTTATTCACATCTGTTTCTCTCAATTTTATAGTGAACAGTTCACTATACAGTCACTATTCCCAGATTATCTCTTTATGCACATGTAAGGATTTATTTATCAAATTTATCGTCTATTTTAGTGCCTAAATGGTGTTTCCTACCCTATGAGCTGCCCAGCTGGTCTCGTCTTCAACGATGTCAATAGACACTGCGATTATCTCGATGCATGTCTGAGGTGACTAGTTTCTTTTCTGGAGTAAGCCTGTTGGCTCGCTACGTTATTCATGACCCAAGTCCTCGCTGGTACCAGGGCTATTGCTCACTACAGCTCACAAAGGCAAGGGATCGAAACTGAAGCGAGGGTTTATCGGAAGCCTTCCTAGTCAATTAATCCCTCTTCATGAAAAGTGACTGACTTTCTATTAGTTCTGGAAGAAAGTTGACGAATAAAACACTCATCCTCCTTCAATCCCACCACTTCTCACCAGTTTTCTTGAAAGTAGCGTTTATTAATTCTGCTTAAGGGATGCGTCACGCATTTGACTTCTATTCAGAATCGTAGTGGCGTATTGAATGCGTATAGAGCCCATACAATGGCTTGCTTGGCCAACCGATGTACAAGTCAAGATTTTTATGTTCCCTGGCGAGTCTGGAAACAATTAGCCGACCCCGGAATGATGGCCACTCCACCGGCTCCGCCCGATATCATACCATATCTTACAATATCATCATATATCCATTGTTTTCAAACCATCGCATAATTTATGTAGGCAATCTCGTAATGGAATCAAGGCGCATGACTCATTCCAAAGGATCCGGTCAAGATCAACACCGTTCTCCCAAGCTTCACTTTGTTAGTCCCCATCAAAGACCTCCAGAAAATCCTATGTCGTGAATTGACTTCAATTACATTTTAGTACAGCAACTGATATATGATTTTATGATTTAGCACAGTTCTCGGCATGGGTACTCCTCTAGATGTTCAGGAGCATCGTGGACCGATCAGTTTCGAAAAGGTCTGTAAGAAAAGGTTTTCCAGGTGCTTCGTCTCTTGGTATGTGTGCGTGTTTCAGATCAGTCTGACAACTCAACTTCTTTGTCCTCAAGGACGAGATGGACTACTCTCCCATGGACCTTGTTCCAAGACCTATGCTCAGGTATTCCTACCCATTATAGCCGACCATTTAAAAGGTCCTATATGCAACGAGGAGATGTTCAGTGCGTAAATGGTACCGAATATGTGATGAACTGTCCGGTTAACCTCGTATTCAATGGTGCTCGTGCATACTGTGATTATCCCGAATCGATCGGCTGTCCCAGGTATCATCCTCATACTCTATCAGATTCCCATATAATCAAACTGAGCACAGGAGCAGATGGGATTTCTTCTCACATTGGGAATAGCTTTTTCTTTGCTCATTTATGGACTAGTGGGTATGGTACATATGTATGACACCTTGCCCGGCCCAGCACTTATCTGCGGACTTTATTACAATTCCTTATCATTAATAATCATTTCTTATCGTAAATTTGAGCATTTAACTTACCGCTCTGTGCTCAGAATATCTTGTACCGATGTCCCCAATGGACCCTATGCAGTCGGACGATGTAGTGCTGAATATGTGAGTTGCTGGGAAGGAGCAAATACGGATTCAAGGTTGGTGATCATTCATTATCATGCATTATTTCTGGAAATTACCTATCCTTTACAATGAGCTAAACACTTATCGATTGCAGATGTCATGGAAACCTCATTTTTAACCCACACAATGGTCAATGCGACTACCGATATAATGTCCCAGAGTGCCACAGAATGCCAAGGGCAGCCGTTGAGCCAGGTAAGAACTGATTTTTACCGGAAGATGACTTTCTGGCAAGATGGGTGGTTTTTGAAGCCGCACATCGTTCCTGGTCTCTGAGGTACCGTACTGGAGAAAAATCAAATCTCCACGATTATACAGCTACCTTGACAGCCCGATTTCCCCACATTAAACCATCCCTCCCTTCGCCCGAGAAAATGACATCCATCATTTTGGTAATCTGGTACAATCAAGGGAATCGTTGATTTGGGCAGAAGCTTGGCTTATATTGGGACTTTATACGCCCTACAGCATCCCCAGGATTTCTGCACGATTTTGCCATCGTCTGTTGGTATCCCCGACACTCTTTGATAAAGTTTTTCCTGCAAATCTTCTTACACCTCAAATTGTCTTGTTAAAAAGATGCTTTAGCACCGCTCGCTCCAGCGCCCGTCCAGACTGTCGTCAACAAGCCAAAGCCCGTCCCAGGTTTGTTGCAGTGAAGCAGAGGAAAAAGCTTAAGTCTGTTAAGTGACTGCAATCACCGAGAGTTTCAGTAGTTGTTGGAAGCACATTCTGCCTTGGGAAAATGGATGGTTACTACTCAGACGGATGTTCTACAGAATATGGAGCTTGCATAAGTGGCAAATACTACAAGGTATAGAGCAACGTTTATAGTTAGAGACTCGCTAGAATTTTGTTTACCGTCGACCACGTGATCCTCTCTGATTGTTTGGATGGCTGGCTCGTTTGTTACACTTAAAAGGAAAGATTAAGGCCTCCCAAACACGCTCCCTGCCCTCACTGTGGAGCTTTAGCTAGGACGTCTAGGCTTCTGTGGCAGCTCATTCCTTGGTCACCATACCAAACTTTCATCCTTCGACTTTTCAGCTCAGATGTCCTGGTATCCTCAAATTCTCGCAGACCCTGCAACGTTGTGAACCTGAAACTGATGTCGAAGAATGTGTAAACCAATGCAGCTCCCGTCCCGATGGCATACATCAACTCGGTTGTCAAACTAAGTACGTCAACTTAGATGTGTTCGCATCAAACACCTCATAAATGACGATTTCCTTCAGGTACCTAGTGTGCTTCAGTGGAAATGCGCGAATGTTTAACTGCCCAGCTGGATTGGTTTACCACGGACCGACTACCAGCTGCGAACATCCATCTCGGGTTCCTGAATGCCGTTCTAATTAATTGTTCCCAATAAACAGTCGTTCCAAAAGTTGTTATTACACATGGTTGACACCCAAAAGGATCGTGTGGGCGGGGCCAGATTTTCGTTGTGATGCATACGTGTTTGGACAAATAGGAGCTATACAAAGAAAACGTTTGATTTTGACGTAAATTCGCCTGGAAAGGGGAATCACTCTCTTCCAGCCAATGTTCCCGTAAATCTCGGGAACTGTTCGGTTTGTTACTTCCAAAGGCATCGACTCAGATCCCATCCACGATTCAAGCGAGCTCATCGCCCAAACAATTACGACACTACGACTCTTAATGAAGTCGATCACAAAAACAAAAAGAACTTTCCAAAAAAAAAAAAGATCAGGCAAACCCAGAACTTTGCTCTCATCCTTCATATCATGACATATCGGGTATGGTAAAGAACAGAGAAGGCTTTGAACATTTATTCCTCGTCAAAAAAATGTGTGCGCTGAACCAACAAGAAAAAAGCCCTAGGATAGCTCCAACACCGAACATATAGTCAACTGGGTTACTTAGGATCCGATCCAACAGCCTCAACACCAGCAGTGGAATGTCTTGTCATCGCTTCGCCCAGAATAACGTGGCAGACTCATCATTCATTGATCCTATTGAGACTTTGACCAATGCGACTTTAAAACTCCCAATGGGACCACTAAAGCATCGTTGAATGTTTATGGATAGTGTAGAAACTAAATCTTCCTCCATATTATTATTTCTAGGCATAGTTATGAACCTGTTCCTTAACCAGTGGGTCATGGCGTGATCGACACGATCTGTGCAAACATTCTATTCAGAGTAATAGCGCTTCCAATTCTCTATTCAGCTGTTCGCTCCTAAAAAACCTGGCTTTCACATTTTTTTCAGTAAAATTTTATTACTTCCTTACACCTCAATTTTACTTATGCCCCTATTCATTACGCCTTCTTTTGTAGACACTCGAGGAATCCCTATAGATATGTAGACCTATTGCAAAAATTGCGCAACTCGAACTGACAACATGAAAACCTTTGAGTACCGGTCTGACAGAGCTACGTATAATGCGCGGTTTTGCAAAGTTCATAATAACACGTCCAATTGACATAGATCAATAATATCCTGCAACACTTTTTAATATTTTGATATGACATATCACAGACGATCCTGGTCAGACAATAAGCCATTGTTTGGCCTCGATAACCTTACTGAATCCCACAGTTTCTTTTAAATGGAATGACATGAAAAGGGAGACGCGCGGGTTCGTCCTAACAAGAGGCTTCTGTGTCGTGAGAAAGTGCAAATTGTATCCCGACAGCAGCCACGGTTCAATGGCTAGAGGCGCCATCGCTAGGTAAGCTGAGCAGGATCAGCCATGCTGACTGATCTGGATTGGCTAATGGTCAATGTGTCTTCAAAGAAAGAAACTGTTTATAGCGAGGATGGATTTCAAAAAAAAGTTCATCTTGTCAAATCTAAAGACTATAGAACATTCTACAATTGTGACGCTCCCCTCCCCACTTACTCAACTGGCCCTCCCAAGAAGTTCAGCAGGGGTCGCGCTTAAGAGCGAGAAATCATGGGATCCAGGTCGTTTAACCTATGATACGCTCGGCAAAGCTCTTTTAAAGACTACTACAAAGAAATCTAAGAGTTCCTAGGTCGAAGAGATCTCTTTCACACTACGTCGAAAGTAGCTGCATTGATAAGGAGCTGTCTTGCTCACAGACTTGAGCTGCCAATAAAAAGATCCTATAAAAGTGAGTGCATGGCGCATCCCAATCTGAAGGCTTTCAAGAATCTTACCTTTTCTAATTGCCATTTCGATCTGTTGAGCATCCTCGATAGTCATTTGAGTAGTAATTCCAGGTACAACCCACACTGAGCCATGCGAATCGTAAAAAGGAGGTTATGGCGGTACATGATAGCTACCCTATTCAACGTTGCAGGTTGGCATATGTCTTGATCACCTGGTTTTATTTACTGTCTGGTATTGATATGGCAAATAAACAATTCAATTTTACAGCCTGTTGCTCACCATTTACTATGGACTCCAACCCAAGAATGGGAGTTCTGCAAGCAATGTCTGGAATTACTAACAATCAGCTATCAGCGTCGGATGGCCCACGGGCAAGAGGAATGGAAACACTCACACAGGGACTTGGCCATACATCGCCATTTAGTAAGCCACCGTATTCCATTCACATAACTTATATGGACCCTTTCAAGCCCTTGTAGCAAGCTGATCTCAAAAGGCTGAGGTCGAGGCTGGCCTATTCCATGACGCAACACATTCAGTCGGATTCACTCCGTTTGATGATTGTTGTCTGGAAAAGGTGGAGCATCAGGGATAAGGGACCATAATTTGGGGTTGCGCCACGCACTCGACCTCAACTCATGTTTGGAAAGAGGGGAAGTTAAAAAGTGAATGTTCAGCGTTAGGAGTGTCATCAGTGCCGCCGATTTCCCACTCATCAGAGCTTGACTGCTTCGACTTTGATAAGCACTGCAGATGGCGCAATATTGAAGGGCTTTTTGTGGACGAGATGGATTGGTTTCAGGTAGAGCATTGCCTGGACGTAATCAGGTTTGTAGATGACTCCTCCATTTTAGGGAACAGGTCAGCTCGACAAAAATCGCATTCAACGAGCGACGGGTGCTAATACGATACCAGGTATACCGTTGCTTATGCTTGTTTATTTACCTTCACCTTTTATTTGTCCTACTGCCAACCGTGCAGCCCACATAAGGAGAATGCAGCTTAGAAGAAGCTTTATGGCATGCTATCGTTTTATAGATTACCCAGAGCCTGCAATTCCTTCAAGGGTTCAAAGTATTGCCCATAAAGTTTGAGGGTCTCTCCGATCATCTATTGAGGTGCCACAGCACCCTCCCACGCTTTTTTCCCTTCTCGTTCCAACTTACCCATGGCTCAAGTTCGTCACATTCGATATGAATTTTGACCCCGCCCCTTTAGCAACATATTGATGTTCCATGCCCTTACTACCCAGTTTTTCGATAAATATAGTTTTCGTTTTCTCAGATGGTTCCTATGCGATTGTGGCTACTGATACTTCGACAACGGCTGCTGCTAAAGCAGTGCTAGCAGCTGATCCGATTCCCTGTCAAATTGGAGCAGGAGAATTGAGCTTCAAGTTGGGTTTTTTTCTGCTCTTTTTTCGAGAGACAGCAAAGATACGACAAGAACTTCACTGTAGGAGTTTTAATGTCTAGGTTCTGGACCTCTCCACAAGTACGCATTCGAGTTTGCGTAAGGAGAAATCCGAAACTTCTACTCGATTTCGACTATTGTAGCAATACAGTTGAAAACGGTGATCCAGGACCTGTTAGCGTAAGAATTCCTCAACTATCCACATCTCCATTTCAGGTATGATTCCAATCATATGCTTCTCTGGTCCATACTTCCAACTACTTATAGGTCCCTGAACTTCAAAAGCATGAGGCAGTCTAGGTCGACAAGATCAATAAATCTCTTGAGACACGTGCTTTAATCTGATGTACCGAGGTGTCCAAAGAACTTGGCCTAAACCTGTTCTAGCCTTTTACGTGGAGAGCATTCTTTGCGAAAATCCTACTGAAAATCTGCCAACCAGGTGAAGCAAAGGGTCCGGGGCTTTGCTGTAGGAAGAAGTATAGTCAACTTTCAACTAGGCCCTCAAGCACAATTCTGAAGTGGTTCTGTGCCGGACCCTCTTAATGGGTGTTTCTTTGGAGACCGCTTTGTTGGGGGAGGGGGAAGGGGGGCCCACAGAAACATCTAAATGTTCAGTAAATAAGAGAGCGCAGCCTGGTACAACCTTCGCCTCCAGCCACTTAAATGTCCTCGGAAAGAACTGAAGCTCAAAAAGATTTTTTNTTTTTTCAAAAACTCCGCCTGCTCATAAGCCACGCCCATCGCGCGAGCCAGAAGGAGTACGGGAAAGTCTTCAACGATGGCCTAGTCGAATGCAAAAAAATAGGAAAATCAACAAATTTATTTGCTGGAGCCAAGTGGCGCGCTACCACACATGTGGATCCGGGATTCACTACCAACTTCATAACTTTTAGGTCTAAGTCTAGGCCAACGAAGACTGAAAAGGTTCAAGAAAGGCCGATAACTTCAACTTTATTCTTTGTTTAGTTTCGATCGGTATAGAAAACGGGATTATTAAAAAGAGAAACTCACTGAGCAAAAAAACAACTCAATTCCACCGTTTAGCTCTTCATAATAGCTGATCACTTCACGTTCAACTCCTCCGATTTACAAGGTGGTTTCGCTATCATAGACGATATCCAATATACGGCTGAAATATGCAGTAATATCGAGCTAGATCAGGATCAGGTAGGAAAACCTTTTGTAGAGGAACCAACAGCTCACTTGACGAAGAAAAATTCTTTCTCCTTAATTGAATCTATAGCCACAAGTACGATCTTCTTGTCGTTCCCTGATGAATTCGATTCCTTCTTTGTATTCACTTCAGTTGATAGCCAATCTTTACAGCCATCAAAACAGCCCTTCTCGAATTCTCCTGCAAGCAGTTCATTGGAATCCGCCGCTGGAACAGGTTGGTGACTGAAAATTTGATTTGCCAGTTTCTTGGAGAATTTTCTTCAATGGTACATCGACCAAATGGGGTTTGAGGTATTCACGTAACTTTAACCCCTCAGAACCACTGCAGCTTTTTGTTTCCTCCTGTATCAATTCAACAATTATTCTCTTCTCTTTTTCTTGACGGTGATCCAGTATGGGTCATTAAATTCGATTCTAGACGTATACATACTTGAACGCATAAACCAGGACTCCGGGCGAGAACTAGGATCAGTAGGAAAATGTGTAAATAGGAGGCAGGAATAGCGATTCAGAAGGGTTTAGGTAAAAGGTTCATAGCTACGGAATTTCCCAGGCCGAGAACCATAAAAGGCAAAAATGTGGCCAAAACCAACGCACTGCCCGGCTCCCAGTAGTCCTTGAATTACTGCCTTCAGTTCTGAATAAAAAAAAACCATCTCCTCTTTACAGGATGGCATGATGGCATGGACGTAGCGACCAGTGAAGAGATTACACCGATGCGTTTTCAGTCGAGGATCTAAGAAGGAAGCATTTGGTAGTGATCACCAACTATTTCACCTATGCAGCTGAATTTTACATCGAGACTTTATTTTCCTAGTCAAGCCTCTTCTGATATTTGTTATATGCTGTATTATTGTTTCCCTTTGTAAAACTATCAACCATATGTCTATTAATATTCACGCAAACACCTCCTATTAGGAAGTGTTAAAGGACAAAGGATAAAGTTTTTGGCGTTGATCAATCCCGTCTGAGGGATGCGCCTCGCACTCGACTTCCATTCAGAATCGCAGTGGCGTAATGAGTGCGTATGTGGCCTATACAATGACTTGCGGTGGCCAGCCGATGTACAAGTCAGTGCTTTTTATCCTTCCAGACGAATCTGGTACCAATCAACCGACCCCGTAGGGTTGAAATGCTTGGTTGGCCTAGGCGGATCTCGATTAGGGATTCGAACGGCTGACCGTGCGTTTAACATAGTGCACCACTTGCCACTACACCACCTCCTCCCTGTTAAAAGCAGTGTTAAATGAAAAAATCACTCTTGTCAAAGTTTCTGGGAGCTTTAGTCCTACTTATGATCCTTATGCTTCCATCTAACGTGTTTGTAGATCCCTCCCCCTCTCCCTACTTGGGTGAAAGCATCTTGCCTGAAGCCAATCCTGCCAGTGAATTACAGTAAAACGATGGGACCATCCCCAGTTGATTCAAAGCGATGTGGAGACTTCTCAAGAATTTTTGGAAATTTTCACTGGAAAATAAACTCACAATCTGTAGATAAACATTCATAATGACTACTGTTGGAAATCAATCGAATAACTAACATTTATCAAGCGCAACACCTTTTTTGTTCATTATAACCATATATATAGAACATCGAAAACATTATCGTTTATAATAACAACTGAACCGTCAGACATTTCAAATGTTCAACAATTCGAAGGAGACGAAGACGAACAGCGGTAGATCACGTTCGTGAGAGAATGGATTCCGATATAAACAATAAAACAACAAATTACACACTCAAATAAAGAATAATTTCGAGGTTCGTGACACTATTGAAAACGAGATTACTCAAACTTATACATTCATTTAGATGCGCCACATTTCTGTTTCCGCCCTTTCGTCCGTTTCGTTTAATGTGAAACAGAAACCATGATTTTGGAAAGATTCTTACTTGTTTGTTTATAGAAGCAAGCGGCAAAGAACCACTAGACATTGAAGACATCAAATGGGTGAAAGAAATGGTTGTACCAACCAATCACATGGAATGGTCTCTACGACTAAGGAAAAAAGACCCCAAATTCCCCTCTAAAGCAGACTACGGTCATGAGGTCATGTGAGGTTAATGATAAAAGGGGAATACGATCGCATATTTGAGAAAGAACTCTTTAGTTTGCGAGTCGCGTCACGCCGGCGTGTTCGATTAGTACATGCGGCCTCAACGCTTACGGCACCCCTTAAGGTCAAATTCTGACATTACAGATTAGCAAGGGGTAGAATGCAACCTAACCCACACGCGAAGGAAAACTTGCATACTAAAGAAAACAAGTTGAAAAACTCAATATGGAAACGCTGAGCTGTGCACCTCACCTAGCAACACGAAACATAAATGTTGAAATACTAACTAAGAATGGGAGCGCGCGAAATCTTTCCACTAAAATCAGATCAAACCAATAAAATCGACATATGAAAACTCATCGATAAGATGTTAGAGGACGGACTACCGCGAAAATGACTTTCAATATGGTGGTTACATTTTTTACTTGAGAAATACCTGAAACAATACACACCGATAGTAAAACAGTTGAGCTGCTAGGCTATACACCTGTGGTATCTCATCAAGTAGCTTGACATAAAGTGATACTATAAATATTTCATGATGACTCCATATACGAATGCAGACTTGATATCCAATTGAACGGTAGAACATTCTCGAGGTGAAACGGGCGAACAAATAAAGGTTTACAAGCTCACGTCTCTGCAGTTTCGACAATTTCTCCAGAATCAGCTGCTGTAGGGGGTGTGATGGTTCGTTCGGGAGCCGGCTCATCCATTGGAAGCGTCTTCTGGAACATCCCGTCTGGAAACGCCTCGTCCCTTGAAACCGCCCTTTGAAACATTCCTTCAGGGGCCGGCTCCATTGGAAGCGCTATCTGAAATGAAAGACCACAACTTTTCATTTTCTTATGTATCAGAGCCTAAAAGGGCATGCTCCTATTCTCTGTTGTATGACGATGTTCAACCGCGTTTAAATGCTACAAAGCTCTTCCCAATTTCATAGCAACAGATTAACGATTCTGGACAAAATAAAAAATGAGTCCAACGAGTCAAGCACATACCGACTGAATTGTTTCCATATCGTTCTCAGATGCGTCGGAGCACTTCGGCTCACCGAGCGGTTTCTCGACCTCATTAGATTCCACATCAGTAGTTGACGTTACCATAGCTTCTTCGGAGCCATCTGGATAATCACTGAGCTTAGAAACCTGGGTACCTCCTTAACTCGGACAAAGCCTAACAGTTCAGTCTTCACTAATGTGATAGGTAACAACTACTATCAAAAAAGCTAGTCGACCACAAGCTTGAAGAAATTTCGCAGAAAAATTCAAAATTCTGTCCATTTCCATATCGAATAAGAAAAAACACAAAAATCTCTTTTCCTGATGTGTCGGAAACTACTTTTCAAAAATCTCAAGCAAAACTCACTACGAGCGCTATCTGATGGTGCTTGAGTTTGCGAAGATGGAACATCGTCATCATAACGGGGAGACTAAATAACTTTTTCTTAAACGTGAAATAAATAAAATAGGTTGACACTACTAACACACCTCCCTTTCTCTTGTCTTATACCGGTCTCCCCTATCTTCGCGATCTCGTCGACTTCGGTCACTTCTGTCTGACCTGCTATCTCGATCTCTTCTTCTATCACTGTCGCTGTTTCGGTCTCTGTCTCTGTCCCTATCTCTATCTCGGTCCCTATCTCGGTCTCTGTCTCTATCTCTGTCCCTGTCCCTGTCCCTGCTCCTGTCACGATCCCGGTCGCGACGATCACGATCTCGATCGTCCCTCTCGCCTCGGTGTCTATCCCTGCTGTCCCATCGACTGCTGCTACTTCCTTTGTCATCCGCATCTCCCCATCTGCTCCTCCTTCTCTCACCTCGATCTTTAGAACGGCGTCGACTCCTGTCTCCATCCCGATCTCTTCCATCACGACTCCCGTTCCAAGAGGTACGTCCACCTCGTTCAGACTTCTCGTTCCACGACCGCCTTGCTTCTTTGTCAGGAGGGTCCTCCCCTCTCGTGAGAGGCACATTCGCAGTCTTATCAACGGTGTAACTCCTATCTCCATGAAAACCTCCACGTCCACGAGCTCCAAAACCTCCACGGCCTTCGAAGCCTCCACGACTTTCGAATCCTCCGCGACCGCCCTCCAATCCTCCTCGGCTGCCTTCAAATCCTCCGCGACCGCCTTCGAATCCTCCACGGCCACCTTCGAATCCTCCACGACCACCTTCAAAGCCGCCACGACCATTTTCAAAACCTGCACGACCTCCTGAAAAGAAAACAAATGAAAGCAAAAATTATAAAATCACAGCAACTGTGCCTCTGACCTCTAAACCCTCCACCGAATCCTCCTCTTGCTGGTGCGTTGAAATTGGGAGGGCCGCCCTGACCTGGTGGCATATGAGGCCCAGGAAAACCAGGAGGTCCTGGCATTTGTGATGGCGGTCTCAACGGAGTTGGACCCGGCGGCACTCCTGAAACTCCAGGAATCGGCGGAGGCATTGATGCGGGGGGAGGCACTGCCGACGGCATGGACGAAGGTGGAGGCACTCCTGAAGGAGGTGGAATTGGTCCTGGTGGTGGCATCATCATTCCATGACCAGGTCCTCCTCCACCACCCATGCCAAACATCTGAAACAACTTTTGTTAAAAACCTTCACCGAAGATTAAATTTCACATTAATTAATACCCCTCACCTGCCCATGCATCCCTGGTGGCATTCCACCAGGCATTCCTGGAGGCATAGGAAGGCGCATGGGGAAGCCTGGTGGAGGCACCATCTGAGGCGGAGGTCCCATGAACGGATTACCTCCATGACCAGACGGCGGCATGCCTTAAAATCCGTTCGACATCCTTGGATGAACTCCAAACAGAAATCTAAACAACTCACCCACGAATGGAGGAAATCCAGTTGGGGGTGGAACTGCTTGCGGGAGAGGCTGTAATACAGCAGGTGAATCGGGCACCAACGACTTGATCGGAGACGCATGCATCGAGGTGGGCGGTGGAGATGAACGTGATGGAGTATCTTCAGATTTTGTTGGCGTGGGTTTTTCAGCATTAGCTTGAGTCGATGGTAGCAGCATACCAGTATCGGTGAACAAGTCTATAAATCGTCCATTTCGATAGTTACAGAACTCCCCCAACACCCCCCCCCCCCCCCCCCCCNAAAAACATCCTGATGAACAACTTACTTCTCTTGTCTGGCGGCAATGACTCTACGTCAAGATAAGAGCCTTCACAGAATCGTTCCAAATTTTCCGGAAGCTGATCCCAGGGGATCAATGAGATCCCGCGCTCGCCGTCCCAATATTTTGCGAGCTCATTTTCCTTCATTCCACTTCCTTTAGCCCAGTCCACCTACAGTGCGTAAAATAGAAGCGTAGAAACTACAAACACGATCTAAAGCTTATCGTCATACCTTCACATTCTTCCTTGCGATTTGCAGATCTCCTGCAAAGCGCTGCAACACATCGAAAGCACCTTTTCTCGAGCTCATAGCGGCATAGGCACAAGCTCGCGATCCGATGAGATTTATACGACTGACATCGGCAACACCGGCAATGGCCACCTGTCAAAAATAACGGTAGATACAAAAAACAAAAAATAACGAGCAACTACGATTCTTCCCAATGAATCCAGCGGTTTGGTTCAGAACGTGCGGGAAACATCAATATTAATAGAGCAATTGAAAATTATCTCGTACGAGTTATATCGGCATTAACTATTCCGCCTTTTTTATGTAAACCTCGTATCAATAAACCATACCCAACGGTACGGTACCATATTTCGCATAAGCAAGTTCACTGATTGCGTCTAATCCCTGCAAAAGTAATTCACCCACCCTAATGTCGTTTTCACTGCAGTTCGGCGGTAGTCGTCCAAACCAGAGTGTTTTGGAGGCAACTGAAAACAGATGGACGTAAATACGAACAAAATAGCTGTGACTCAAACAAAAAAGTTACGGCGTGCGAAAACCATTACTACCAGTACAATCAAAGGAAAGAGCACCAGCATTATCAACAATTTACTCGAACCCACTCGTTGTTAGGCCTTCCTGAATTGCGGGTAGCCCAAGTTTCCTTCGCTCACGGTCCACCTTTTCAGGTTTGCGATCTCTTGACCTTAATTTCACATTAAAAACATTTTCTAAAATCATTTAAAAAATAGGGAGTACCCGTATCCAAAATGGACACACCTGCTTCTTCGCCTCTTATGATCGCCTCTATCTCGAGAACGACTGCGCTTACGATCTTTCCTACGGTTATCTTTGTCACTCTGGAATGAAGTATCAGTTGAGGACTTCATGTAAATTCCTCAAAAAATAAATCAAACTTTGTCTTACTACTACGATTCACCCACCTCGCTGTCATCATTCATCATGGGAACTGAGCCTGTTGGCAGAGGCCCAAGCAATTGTCCGGGTGCCGCGCCAAGAAGACCAATGGCTGATGGTGCAGGAACACCACCTACTGCTGAACTTCCACCACCTGCCGCCAGTTGCTGAAGAATTTCCTGTAAAAAACAACTGGGCATTGCGCTGATCCGAATGAGATGAGATGTCATATGAAAAAACACTGTGACGTTAACTAACATATACAAAGAACGCCAATTTCCAACCCCAAACGTCCCTAATATAAAGCCTGGTAAGGAACCACCCACCTGCTGCTTAGCCAGCTGTGCCGGATCAAATCCTCCAGCTAACGAAACCGGTGGACGAGCAAATTGTAAGTTAGACAACGCACCAATTTTCGAGGCCTAGAAAGAACCAAATCAGGATAACTTCTGCCATGGTAGGGTCATCAACTCACCAAAGAACTGTTTGCCAAAAGATTTAACAAGGCCTGATTAGGTTGAGCCGCATTTGCCTGATTAATGGCAGATAATTGTGCAAGGTTTATTGATGGAAGGCCAGCTAAACCTTGGAGACCGGGCAAACTTTGCAGCCCTGGTAAGCCAGCAAGGTTCGGTAACCCAGCCTGGAATAGGCTAACGTCCATGAACTAAAAAATAAGTTTAATATGGCGGGCATATAAAATGAGGTGAAATTGTCATCAATTGAAAAAATGTTACAAGCGAAATAAAATCGTAAAATAGACATTAAAATGACGTACTGGAATGCCTTGTGGCAACGATAGACCTGGTGGGAGACCTTTCGGAAGACTGATTCCTTGAAGTTGTTGAGCCGTGCTTGTGGAAACCGTCGGAGCTACTGCACTAGGAAGTGAGGGCAATGTACGTTGGGCTTGCGCAGCGATCTAAGTAGAAAAACATGACATTCATTGAAAAGCCAAACAAAATGCTGCTTAACCGATGAATCTCAAAAATAAGGGGTGATAAATTACTTACTCCATTAAACGTTACCTGGTTAAGGGCAACAACTCGCTCAGCATGCATACGCTTGAACGCTGCGATCACATTGGGATCCTCTATCAGGTTCCTTGCTATGCTGTAAAAGTTCTATCGAGTGAAGTCATCAGAGCAAGGACAGGTTTAAATGAATGCCAAGAGAGGAAGGACATTCTTCGATCCAGGACCGACCGAAAACGCAGGTTTCAGAGTCTAATTGACCCACAATAGTGACTCCAGAATCGTGTGTATAACATCCCTTCAAGAGTACCGTACCAGAAAGAAAAAAGAAGAAAAATATTGGAATAGAACAAACCTTAGCAGATCTTCCTGAAAAACTTTTGTGACTTCGGACCTCTTCGACGTTTTCCTGCCCTCATCCCCATCTCCATCCCCATCCTCCTCATCGCTATAGTCAAATTGACTCGATAGTAAATCCTTCAATTATGGAATTTAAAGTGAGAAGAAAGAAAGGTTGTTGAACAGAGAACTGTCTTGGAGGTCTGGTTCAGTTTTCCTTAACATCATGCAAAAAGGCGTATAAAAAAGTACCTTTATTTCAGGTTTATCACCGACGGAGCGTATCCGCGCATCCAAAGCACGGCAGATCAACTGAAAAAGAATGAACGTTAGGCATGAAATTACAATGAAACCACAAAATGAAATAACTTTGGGAGAACAAACTAATAAAATTTTGTTGGCTCTGACTAATAAAACAAATGAGAAGTTCACTGATTTTGCTTAATTGAGGGCAGACCAATAGGATGTCAAAATGTCTTTTGGAAAAAAAGTTGAAAGGTAGACATGAAAAGCAATCAAGGAAAGATTAAAAAGGAAAAACATTTTGAACGACTCACTCCATGTGCTTTCCTCAATAGAACAATATCATTTTTGAAAGCTCCGCTGAAATCGAAATTCGCATCAATCATCATGTCCAGTAACTTCCGCTCACTTAATCCACCTGAAAATCATCTCAACCTCTCATGCTCAACTATTGTCGTACATACTCTACATAGGGAAAAAGTATCATGAATAAGAATATATACAAGCAATATGAATAGAAAAGTAGAATGTTTCAACGCACAAGGTGGCAGTTCATCAGATGGTTCATTATCGAGGTCTCTGATGACATTAGGAGGTGGTTCCGTTGGTTCTTCAGTTCTTTCTGGTACAACGGGAGCCACTGGGGCAGCTGGTAACAGTGAAGCGACTGAGGCTACTGGTGCCACCAGATGTGCAGGCGGTGGCATTGGTGGCGTGGTTGATCCATCCTGAATTAATCTTTCTCGGAAATATCAAAAAGGTAACAGAAGGGCAGTTCTTTAGATGCAAAAATGCTGATCCCATAAGAGAATTAAGGGCATACTTGCGGAAGCATGTCGTGGTGGTTACCCTGCGAACTAGGTGGTGGCGACTCTGGGGGAGCGGTATTTCGGTGTCTCTTCTTTTCCTTTTCTCTCGCTCGACCATATGCTCCACCATATCGTGACATATCAGCATCATCTCCCTTCACCAAACGTTCCACACGTTCGACATCCGTATCTAAGGACAGCACGAATACATTCGCACGACTGATTAGGCAAGTTAAAGATGATGAGAGAAGGAAAAAGCAGAATACGAAACAAAACGGAACAGTTGGTCGATGTAGACGGAATCTGTCCCAAATCTATATGCCGAAACCAAACTGATTAAATGAGAATAAGTCGAAATTTTGAGTCAAATTCAAATTTTATGTGACATTGAAACGGAGTTTACCCTATTTTTTTCGATACTAAATAGGTACAAGTTCAAGTGGAGAATGTTTTCGGTAGAAGATCTTACCTATGCCCATATCTCTGCACTGCTGCTTGTAAGGAGCCATTTGTTCTTCCGTGAAAACTCCATTAGCACTCCAAAGATTTAGGGTTCGGATGACTCGAGGCTGAAATTACACATGTGAAATATAGCGTATAGCTAGAATTTTGAGCCCTACAAAAGTAGGCATAGGGTATCCTCAACTTACAACCCATAAGTTAATCAAAACAATTCTACATAACTATATTTCTCCTAGAATAATGCCCTTGTGAGTGAAGACATACGCAAGCCTTCCTCTAATCAATAATTCGAAAGTGGAGAAACTTTAGGAGCCGAGGAAATGGAGTGTAATCAATTCAGGGATTCAGCACTAATGCAGTATTCACGGGAGGAATAAAATGAGTTGCTGAGAAGTTGTCCTCCACTTACCTGATCTACAACTGGACATGCAAGAAGATCAGACAAGGTTTTTGAGAAGTTTTTCAGAAATCGAGCTGCGAAGACGTCCTTTTCTTTCAGTTGATGTTTCGAAGTACGAATAATGCTATCGATGACATATAAACATGGTATTTTATACTCTATTCGGCACTGAAAAAGAACCAGTTTACTTATTTATTTTTATTTATTCATTTATATAGTTAATCGATTCTTTAACAGTTTTTGCTTATCACAGCGAACGATCAAACTTTAACCAACCTTAGCGAGGAATTTCTCCACGCTAAACACAACATGTTTGTAGTACCCCTTGGCTTTCAGAGCTGCTCTGGCAATGTCTTGAATTTTCTTCTTGCTCAAAGGTGGCTTCGAATCATATACTGACGTTAGCTGGAATGAGCTTTGTAAGAGCAAATAGCAGCACGAATAGAGCAAATCGCAATAGGTTATCTTATTTTTTTAACTATTCCCTCTTCCCCTTTGCAACCCTGCATCTATGTATTTTACCTACTACTTTTCGGGAGCCTCGAATGAACATTTTGGAATTTGGTCTGTTTTGCCGACTGTCAGAGACTTATGCCAGTCCACTTCCATTGTATTTTTATTATTTGTTTACATGCAATATCCAAATAAAGTGAAAAACAGCTGAACTATCCAAAGTGAAAAAGCTCACCTCAGCGTTGAAAGCCTTGACTACTTCTGTATCCATTTTTCATAGATAAACACGAATAGCTCGAATAAACAAATAGAAGAAATAGAAGAGAAAAAGGTTCTAATACCTGTAAACATGTTTCGAATAAATGTATGGGAAAGTAAATAAAAGTGAGTCATGTCAGTGGTCACGACAAAGCGATATACGAAAACGTACAGCTTGTAATCCTGTCATTTGCTGAGAAGCATTCAGATTCTAAGCAAATAATAGAATTACTGTTACCAAACGAGTTATCTACCCTGAAAGCTCTAGGATGCAAGGAAGGGAAACTGGTAGCCAAAAAGGAATAGCAAATAAACACTCTCAGGAGAAGCTCTCTCGCAGATTTGTTTTAAGAATAGGCTACATACTATTTACGAACTCAACATAATGAATCCCTATTCAAAAACACAAAAAACGAACATCAATTTAGAAATAAAAAAGAAAAGGTGTGTTCCGGGAAGGAGGTTTTTCATGGAGTATGGAAGAAGTCATCCTATCTTTACTGTAACTGAAACTCGGGCTTCAAATATCTTTTAAAATGTTCGATTACCGATTAAACTACATCGTGACCATAAAAACTACTGTACAGATGAATCAATTAAATTCGATAAGCCTCCAAAAGGGGGAAAATCTTTAGCAAAGGGGAAGCTTGGCTGAGCGCCGAAGGTTAGAAGCGACGGTAGACAGTATGTCTATGGAGGAGTGCTCCAGACGAACAAAGGGCTTCCTGCAACGAAATTTCGTCAGTTGAATTCGATCCCAGTTGGGGGTCGGTGTACGACGGGGCTGGTTTATCTGTGTCCTTTCTTGGCTGCAAACGTTTCTCTACATTTACTTAGCTTTATTTTTCTATGTGCTACTTCAAGCATTAAGTTCTCCTGATTACAGATCCCTTCATAACCATTGTATGCTGATTTTGAGTGCAGAAAGGGGCTTTTCAGTTTCTATCGTGGTTGTTCCTTTTTGTTTTTTTTTCAACGCAGGCTGGTTTTCTTTCCTTTCATCGATTTTCTTGTTAAATACAAAGAAAAATGATTGTCAATGTGTTGTATAATAGTGATGTCATGTTCCATTTCGATGATAATGGCATGATTCACTTAAAATCGGGACCGTACTAAGGTTTCTTTTCTCCTTTATTCTCGTTTCAGGCTGATTGAGCTATTCTCAATGTTCCGGTCAAAAATCGCTCCTCAGCTGTGTTTAGTCTATCTGAGAACAGTTATCTTGTAGGTTGTGGGCTATGCAAAAAGGATCAGCTGATTCTCGCAACTTGAAGCCTCCTTCTGGCTGGGTAGTGACACCGTCCTCTACTTGACAACATGCACCGATTGCTTTGAAGAATCTATCAAAAATAGTCAGCCAAAACATATATCCAAAACGGGGAAAATTTGGACGCCAGCACAAAGCGGGTTATACACTGGATCAGGAATTTGGAAATTAGAGTTTGTTGAATTTAAAGTTTGGAGACCGAATCATCTAGGATTTTCAAAGAAAGCTGTGTGCATGGTGCCTTCCCAGGATCTTTTTTTGTCTCGAAATGTCGCCCTTTTTGCTCTGTAAGGTAGAAACTGCACGGTAACTTCTTTGAAATTCATCCTGTCCTTGAGAGGAAAATTCAGGAAGGCGTTTGGATTTTTGTTTTCTTGAAAACATGGTAGAATCAGCGACATAAAGCTTACTGTGTTCTGGGAATCGGTTGCCAATGCTAGAGGCACGTTGTAAGAAATTAAGTTGATTATTCTCTGTGGTTACGGTGAGGAAACTGGAAGCCACTTAGGAACTGAGGGTTGACTTCAGCATGGAGTAAATTCTCCATTTAAAGTAAATTTCATTTCCTGCTGGTGATTTTCTCTGCCAATTGCATACCAAAGAGATTCCATTTTATACATATCTTGGAACACTTTTATCTAGCTCTTCTTTTCTAACACATTCTCTCTCTTCTTACGACTGTTTCTTTGTGTTGTTGCCCTTCCTTTACAACAAAACTTTCTTTTTAATACTCTTTTTTTTCTCGATTATTTTGTCCATCAGCCTTCCATTGTTTGTTTCAAACGTGGCGCTCGGGCTGTGAGCATTGTGCAGCAGCTGACTGTGCATGAACTAAATCTCATCGGATTGCTCGGGTGATCAGTGTGAACTGGTGGTTGTATGACTTGTACATTGCTGCTGCTGAGTGCGGTCGGGAGGGTGTTCCTATTGACTTCAGATGGTTTCCAAGTTGACTGTCATCTGGGGATTAACATTTTGTCTGCCATCAAGGACGGACGGCATTGCTCTTCTCAATGAGGTGCTATCCTCTATATCCTGTTTCCTTCTTGCCTAATGTTATTTTCTTAGTCATTTCTTCGAAGAAAGAAGGAAAGATAGAAAAGAATGATGCAAAAAATCAAATTTCTCTATCTCTCGTGAAACATTCGAGACTGGAGGGAGGAGATGCTCGGAGGACGGAGAAGATCAATCCACATTTGTCTCCTCTTCCAGACTCTTTCATTCATATTATTTGAATAGCAGCCATGGAATTATTAGTACCTATGAAATCTCAATGGAAACTCATACGTAGTAGGTTTATGATTAACAGCGAGTACTTCAAAACTGGTTTTACTCCCATCCGCTAAAATTGTTTTCCATTTTTTATAGATTTATGAACCTTCGCAATGACGCAGCCGCCGCTATAATAAGGCTGAGCGTCATTCATAGTCTATTAGTCGGCTATTTAGACGTGGGATTGCGATAAAGATAGATATTGAGTGGAATAATAACTTGGAGCATAACTTCTGATTTACAGTTCTGTGACTTCTTGCTAGGAAATTCAGCGATTCTCATATTTCTTATTCTTCAGTTCATTAACAGAGCTTTGAGCACCACTGTCTTGCTTTTCAATTTTTTTCGTTGGCCCCATTCATGAGTTCTTTCCTTCCATTACAAACGAGTTTGCGGTGATTAAGTTCTAGTGCCCTTGTCGCCTCTAACTTTATGCGTCCCGCCCACAAATCATTACCAGCTCTGAAAGGAAGAATATAGTGGAAGTGTATTGCAGTCATGAATCAAGCCGCTGGTGCTCTCGCTGTGAGTCCATTTCCCGCTCCTCCTGACTATGCACAACATTATACCACGGAAAGAGTTAGTCAAGGTGCTGTTCTTCCTCCGCCACCAGTTCAGTCGGTGTTTACGGTTTTTGGAGAAGAATATCGCTTAGAAGATGATATTATAAGGTTAGTTAATTAACTGCCGTTCATTACCGTTAAAATCACCTCGCTACCTTGCTGTTAAGTAGGTTTTGGTGTTTCACCGTGAAATCGGTGATCAAATTATGAGTTAGTCCGAAGTGCTGACCACATAAAGGGCTAGCATGTAACAAATAGTCATTTTCTTTTCGTAATTTAGGCTATTAGGCTAAAAAGAAGGATTCTGCTTCTCTAATAGGCACCAGGCCCCTTTGTATTCAAGCTTTTTTGGATCCGCATGGCTGGTGGTTGTGTTCTACTATCGGTACTTCATTTATTTTCTGTTTTAGGTCACTGGCTTCTCAAAACATCAAGCAATTGTATCCTGCAAAATACGATTGGAAGACCGAGATGAAGAAGCTCAACAGGTTCGCGGCTATTTCACGGAGATGAAGATTTCTTCGTCTATATCGTAACTATTCTAATAACGTTAAGGTTAACAGTCAAAAGCAATGTTCCATCACAAAGAACTCAAAACGGGTCCACTGATTTGGGGCACTGTGACATTGAGGTCGAGAAACTCATTCAATCATCTGGTGTATTGAAAGCCGCAAGATCTCTGTGGTGGAGCATAGGAATCCTGGCTTTGTCGGATGATAACATGGGCTGTATTCATGATTCCGTCTCCGGATATTCGGATTTCATCTGGTGATTGCTATTGGAAGTCTTGCTTGACGTTTCCCAAACCGCTAATCAATGCCATTTATTGTTGCCCCTCAGTTATTAGCATTAATTTTGGACATTGGCCGCAATGAGGGAAATTAAATGCATCCAATCAACCTTGAGTTTTATAGGGATAACAAAGATCTTGAACAAATGTCCTTCATGCCGCTTCCAGCTGTTTTTCAAAGAAATGTTTGTTTGTTTTGCAGGAGCGTAGTGGTGGCTTTCCTTGACCTGTTGGACATTCTTGTGCGTTGTCCAGATCATCCTGAGAGAAATGAGAAAATTAATGACATCCAAACGATATTTATCAATATGCATCATCTTATCAATGAGTATCGACCGCTTCAGGTTGGAATTTTCCCTGTATTTGTTTAATTATTCATTTATTTATTATTTTCGTTGATTTTTAATTTTTTTGCATTTCAAGTAGGGTTTCGGCAGATTTGAATGTGTCATAATAACCTCTTATGCTTCTTATTATTCTTCCCATTTGCATAATGAAATAATGGTTGTTTTTTCATAATCATGGCTTACACTATGTCTCTACCGTGTAAAAAAAACAGTATGAGACTAAGGGCACTCGCATGTACCCAATTCAAATTAGTGGATCGATTTACTTACGCAAGTTCCTTTTCATTATGAAAGTTCAATATAGCTTACAGCAAGCTTTTTTGGTAACTTTTAGTAGTTATTGTTTTATTTAAAAAGAAAAGTTAGGACTCGACCTCCATAAGTAGTAGCGCTACACACATTTAGACAAGACGAGCTACGGCGCCGAGAAATAAGTTTTACGCAATGCATTCCATTTCCTATCAATATTTGTAGTTTCGGACCCCTTTACATAAAATTCCTAGCAAGCTTTTCATAATTCCGTCATGGTTCCAATTTGAGGCAGTGTATGATTCATCTAGGCTCGTGATACCCTGCGAATGATGCAAAGTCAACAATTAAAGGAGTTGAAGAAGACCGTAAAACGATTCAAGTGAGCTTAAAAATCAATATTTCTCTTATTTGGAGTTGGCCGTAACATTTTGCTTTGTTATGTTTCATAAATTTCTTTTCAGAGGGCATCTGGCAGCCGGCAAAGCAGCACTCCGTGAAGAGCTGTCGTTATCGGACTTGAAGTTGACACCGGTTCCTCGCCCATCGCCATTGACGGGTATTGATATCGATTCTGATGAGGAGAACATGCCAAAGCTTATCAAGATGGAGGTGACTATTGATTTCGTGTTCCATTACATTGCATTACGCTAGTTAGTAATATTTCACTTGACAGGGTGGTTCTTAGACTTTTTTGTCACTAAACGTCTAATCTTCTATTCATACCCGCATTGAACTTATTTCTTTTTTGAGTGTAATATGAGTCAGCTCTTAACGGATTTTCTAACACCTGCCTTTTATTGGTAGAGCTAAGAAGTTCTCTATCTACAGTATGCACAAAGACAATGGTATTAATCCTGGCATTCTTTGTTCACAGTGACGCATTAGAGTTCTTAGGGTTTACCTGGATACACCTGCTTTTCTCTCTCAGTTTCTATTTCCAAGAGCTCTCCAGAGGCTCGCGCTACTCCGTACTCTATCGCGTCAAATTCCTAATTCAAAATCTGCACTAAAAGCGATAAACAGCGTTTGTAACAATAACTCTCCGCGTCATTTTATGTCTCAGCAATGGGTTGCTCATTATGTTGTTTGGAATGCGACAAAAGTGATGTCGAGATTGGCAGAAATAGATTGATTTGTGAAATATCTGGAATAACTCATCTGAATTTTATTTAGTCGTCGGAAGTGGAGGAGGCCACATCAGCTATGTCATCCATGAGACTGGCACCGCGTCCTTCACGTGCACAACTCAAGCAACGACGCAACGCTGAAGCGCGATTCCTTAGCGAGTGACTTATCCAGCTGTGGGAAAAGAGCAATGGAGCAGGATATCAGAAGTCTCCTTGTTGACAGGTAGAAGTAGAGTGTGAAGATTCTGCGAGGTTTCATGTACGGCTAATTCGACATCGGCTTTTGTTGTGGATCTCTTAATTGATTATTCGTTGTAGAGGATTAATTTTGTTTGCGGGTTGCTCAAAATGTTAAGTTTTTGCCTTAGCCCTTAAACGTTGTTTGTTATGTCAACATATGCTTTTCCATGGTTGTCTCCCTTTAGGCAAGCATGTATACCATTGACATACTGCAGTAATTTCTTTTCCTTGGAGTTTCTGAAGCGAGTAGGTGGTTGCCTAGTCCTGACCGCGAGACGATTGTCGAAGGTGAAAGTGGTGCCTTGGCCTGAACTAGTGCTCAACTTACCTTACATCTTCCCTTTGAAAACTTCATTATAACTGCCGTTGTTTTTCTATCATGCACTGTTGTACGGTCTGTACAGCTGTGTGCTTTTGTTTACCAGAATCGGCTTAAATTGGGTGCAGACTGTTTTTGGTTATGGGTGTCTCCTCTGTTTCCCTCATCTCCTCCCTCTTCTCTCGTACCCTCCCCTCCCCCTTTCCCTTCCGAATCCCGTGTAGATCTTTTCGTTTGCTGTTTCTTGTAAAAGCGAACTAGCTTGTTTAAATAGCATCAGTGCAGCTTTCATGAACTAATGAGCGCCTCTCACAACATTCTCTCCAGTCTCCGCATTTTAATGGGCCGGATTGGTTCCGGCGTATTCTGGCAACAGTTTTTTCAAAGTTTTCCATTTTTTGCGGATGAACATAGTTCTAAATGGGTAGTGGAATGTACGTAGAGAGGCACAATCATTTAAAAATGGAACCAAAACGAAGTCGAGTGCTACTTTTCTCAACAAATTTGCTTACCGGTGAAATTAAAGGGTTTTGGCCGCTTTCCTTATGTCTACTTCGTTATCCTTCCTACCTGGTGCACGATTAGTACTGTTCTTGTTTCCAAGCAGTCACAAGCCTTTTGCAGTGGCCATAATCTCGAAATTGCCCTATTTGTTTGACGTCAAAGCATGAATGTTCTGCTTCGACTAAAAAATGTTGCGGCTCGGAGTTGTCTAACCATTTTGCTTTTCTTCAGCGACACCACTTGTTCCTCTCACGTAAGATAAGACAACTGGCTGTCACTTGACGCTTCCATAACTTCAGAAATAACCGAAAACCTATGATTCTGATTGTTTTGCACTTGAATGTGTGTTAAGGTGTTGACGAGTTTCACGTGTTATGTAGGGTGATTCAATCGATAGCGTTCCCGTTGTAATCTTACATGACAACATGTGCACGGTGCGTATCGTACTACATGAAAAGAATACGTTTTAATCGCTCATGTTCTCTTTTTCTGTAATTGTTATCAGTGTTCTTATCACTGTTGTATTTGTTCGATTCTCGTATTATTGACAACTCAACCGAGCTGTGCGGTTGCTAATTTACAGATCACTTACTTTTCTAGCTTAGGGTACGTCCTTGAAATTTAACACGACGGATACTGCTGAGAAGTACGGACGCCATGTGAGTCTCTTTAAAAGCGTGACTTTTTCTTTATCTACGCTGTTGTTTCGCTGACCCGTCGAGTCAACTCAGGTTCTCATTTAGTGCTTACTCCCACGATGTCGTTGGATGCGAGCAGTCGACGTCTTATGAAGGAGCTTCAACAACTATCAACTGAACCGCCGACGGGTATTGTGGTGAATAAAGATGCAGCTAGTGCCGACCTCAAGTAAGATTTCTTTTCGCTCATCGAACTCATTTTTCCACATAATTTCGATCGTGCTAATTTCTCTTTCGATCTTGAATGATCTTTATGTATACGTTTCATTCCTCGCGTTTTACATTTTCCTTTATCCGCCTATTTAGTGGTCATGCATTGCGTTGGAATAATACTTGAACGCAACTGATTCTGAAGCAGCTGCCTTCAAATATTACTTTTTTGTCGTTTGAGTAGATATTTCTACTTACAGGTGTAGACGTTCTAAAGTACAGGCTGTTTTCTTGATTTAATGAGGCACACATTAAACCGTAATTGAATTATGTGCTATTATGTACCCTTTATGTGTATCATGAACAAAACGTCATGCCCTTTCAAGTGCTACCCTAATATACTTAGTTGTACTTGCTTACGTAATTAATTGTTCAGACAGTGGCGTGTGGACGTGATAGGTGCTACGGGTACTTTGTACGAAGGCGAGAAGTTTTCCCTTCAGTTTCGATTCACGCAGCAGTATCCGTTCAACTCGCCGGAGGTTCGTTTTCTTTTCAGTTCTATACGCATTTACCTTTTTCTTTTGTATTAAATATAACTTTGTTGAATCTTTTTCTTACTGTATTGTATACTGCTTAGCCCAATTAGCAAGGTAGTGGTGCATTGAAATATAGTAAACATTACTTCATTTATTCTTTTTTGTTTGATGATAGTACATTTTTCGGTTGTAAATTACGTTTATGCCACCTTTTTTCTGTATATTTAATGTCTCAGGTGATGTTCGTCGGTGAAAATATTCCTGTACATCCGCATGTCTATTCCAATGGTCATATCTGTTTATCGATTTTGTCTGAGGATTGGACACCAGCTTTAAGTGTGCAAGCAGTTTGCCTATCTATTCTTTCCATGTTGTCATCTGCGAGAGAAAAGGTAATCACTTGTTATGGTTGCTCAGAGTCTTCATCGAATAAGTGAACATGCCTTTTTTCAGAAACGACCGCCAGATAATGCATTATATGTTCGGACGTGTAATAAAAACCCCAGCAAGACGCGATGGTGGTTCCATGGTGAGTCGCTATTTCTACGTGGAGTTATGACTTATCAATGAGACATTGCAAAGTTATGGCCGTGTTTGGGACTACTCTTCTCTATTGTCTCATTCTTTTGCTTGAAAAGCAGAAAACCATTTGGCATGTAAAACGGCGTGAGTGAGATGGTACCGGGTCAAGGAACCCTCCTTAAATACGAAAGCGCATAACCTACTCTTCAGCGAATCTTTAGTAGACTCATATGATCCGCTAGCATGGGCATGTAATTTGAAGATCCTCCAACTGGCGTAAATCTCACCATCAGAGGTTTTCATCAAATTTGGGACATAGTTGTAAAGAATAGAAGTGAATAAGACCCGCTGAAAGTGGGTGCTGGCCGCCCAATGTTTTCTGGTCGATGCTGTTTGAAGAGCATTAAAAATCATGATCCCATAATGAGTCATTTCATTATGTACATTGCTCATAAGGGGAAGAATATTACGTTTCTTCACGTCTCGATTTTCACACTGAATTGATCGTTCTCCTTCAGATGACACCGTTTAAACTATGTGGTATATGGTTGGGGACGCTTCCCTTTACTGAAGTTCATCGTCCAGCCCACTTAAAAGGTATGTTCTTCTTTCTGCTGCCGTTTAGTTCTCTGAAATAACTTCCACGAAATTTGAATTATTCATCACAACTTATTGGCTAAGGGTGTTGTTAATTTGAATAGTTTTCTGGGCCTGGGTCGATATAGGGAGAAAGTGCCCGTGTAGAGAGCCAATGGGCGTCAAGTTTGAAAATGACTCACTTACTGAAACATTCTTTTAGGAAGATTCGTCTGTGCTGTTTTGCGCTCACTGAAAATGTCAGTGTGGGAAGGGGGAGGGAGGGGGTGTAGGGGTAGGGGCAAGGAGGTAAAAGGTGGCAATCGGCTTCACAATCGGCAAGGGTTGAACCGCCCTGGAGTTTGGAAATTTGTGGTTTTCGGATGTCTCTATAATGGAAGAGCGTGAAGTCATCATGCCCACTCATCTGTGCATCCAGAGATATCTTCTGATTATATAGCTCTTCAAATTCTGCTCGTACCTAAGATACTTCGTTAAAGCCTTTCCTGTATTATGTAGTGAATAGGTCTAGCAACAACTGTTGAATAGAAAAAAATAATTCATGTTGGGACCTTTGATTGAGTAATTTTATGGTAGTATTTGCTCGTTATTTTTCCACTTCACTTAATCGTTGTTTGTTATTTCAGAGATGTGATGGGCGCACTGCCGCTGACCCGTTATCAAACTATTACGATATCAATGAAGTTTTCTTTATGAATTACTTTATTCCCGATTATATAAATCGATTGCTTGATTGACAGCAAATTTTTTTTCCTCATATTTCACCCCATTGGCCAATAATTCTACTCAACTTTTCAATAATAGGTAGCTTTGACAGGGTTTTTGTATCACAAGTTTTCAAGCAGATACTATTTTGGCAAAGTGACAATGATCGTAACCCGGGTCAAAGCTACTTATTCGATTTGCTTTTGTATGTCCGCATGGTGTCGCTTCAATTACTTGTATTGTTCATTTTTGCGTAAATTTTCATCCACAGAACTTATCAATCGTAAAAATTTTGCTCATTTTTTGTGACTCAGTCATTGTCATGCTGCTTGATTACTTGTCCCTTTACTACCCCTCTTTCCGCTGCTATCTTTGTCAACTATGGGTACGATCTCATTTCCTTTTTTGATGGTTTTCTGATCGAATGAGAAAATGAGGTCGGTATGATTATGATGTAATGTCTAGTTACAATTTGTGTCGTCAAGTGTGACCTTGATCCGCTTTTGACTTATTGTAACCAACTATTTGCTGATAGTAACATTAGGTTCATTTTACTGTAAATATTTAGACTTTTTATGGTGTACTTTATCATGAATTGATTTTTACAAGGAGTGTTTGTTTGTTTGTTTCCTGTGCTGGTACTTCTGAGTCTCGGCACAGTAGTTATCAGACTTTTCCGCTTAGAACAGGAAGCGGGAGTAGCTGTGTGATCGAAATTAGGGGAGGCTAAGTGGTCTAAGTAATTTCATTTATTCTCAGTAGTATGGTGAAGCATTGGTGTGTTTGTAGTTCACCTTTTTTCCTGAATAGGGGTCCCATTCTGCCTATTGGGAACGGTCCTTTCTTTCGAAATTGAATCGAGCAGGAACGTTCAGGAGCTTGGTATAGAACTCCTAGGAAGCGAAGTGTCCACCTAAAGACATGTCACGACAGAAAAAGGTTACTTAATTTTTGTAAGGGGTTTGTTAGAAAAATTCATCACCCATTGTTGACTTCAGGATGTCATTTAGTGATTAACAGCTGCTGATGAAAAGAAGAAAGTTACGTAATTTTTAGAAGGGGTTTACTTGGAGGGTAGGTATGAGGGAATCGATCAGCCCCCAAAAACTTATCCTTGTAGAAGCTATTGAATTTGCATAGTCCTGAGAATAATAACTATATGTAGTGCATGATGTGGTATTCTAGGTCATGGTGGAGAAGATTGGTCCGATGCTCAAAATTTGCGGAATTCCTTGCCTATGTGTTAATACAGTAAGTTATGAATGTCATACTAACTAACTAAAGTTTTGGGACTCACCGCACTCATTTTTGCCCATCGATTGATTTCGAACTCTTTGTTTGAGCCTATTGTGCCGCGAACTAATCTACGAGAGAATAGTCGAAAGCATGGCTGATCCTTCCTTGGGGCTGATCTCGAAACTGGTTATAAAAGCTTACTACGCACCTTAATATATCATTCGGAAATCACAAGTCGAAGACGAGTACATGGCCCCTTCAGTGGGGTTGATAAGCACTGAGTACTCTTCTCGCTGATGGCTGTAGACAGATCTTTTTTAATGGGAATACTTAACTGGCCCATTATTTCAGGCGCCCCCTGATAAGCGGGCAGTACAACAGCCGTTGACCGATTATCAATCAGGATGATAACAGTAAAAATCACCTTTACACTAGACCTTTTCGTTGTGCCCATCAATTAACCGATGAATCGATCTTTCACTTTTGGTGCGCCATTTCGCTCATTTTTCTTGGCCACAGTTGTTTCTTCGCTTGATATAAATAAATGAAATAAAGTCTCCGTCAATGATCAATTCTTCATCCGGATGCGCCCCGCATTCGAATTCCATTCAGAATCGTAGTGGCGTGGTGAATGTGTTTGGGCCATATACATACAATGACTTACAATGGCCAGTCGTTGTACTCTCTATACTTTTACCATCTCAAACGAGTCTGGCACTGATCAGGCGACCCCGGAGGGATCAAAGGTCTGCTTGGCCTGGGCGAGTGTTGATCTAGGATTCGTTCCCCGGATCTTCATAACCATAGTTGACAGCAAGGGATGAAAAATGTTCTCGTCAAGCTCGAAAGAGAGCTGTTTTTTAGTTGGATTTCTTCTGGAAAAAGTCCTTGGAGGGTTGATTTGCCAGTGAGACTGGCAGACATGCACTTTTTATCTTATCATAAAAAGCCGATCAACTCTAATTCACTACTGTTAAGGGGTGTAACCTATTTAAAGGAGGTACCAGCCACGATATCGTAACCATAAGTTGCATGAGAACAACTTCTATCAATCCCATTTTCATGTATTGTTTTTCTAGGTATTTATTGTCATGAGCCTCAAAATCTTCTGAAAACTACTATGACTCGTGTTGCTATAGTCGGAGAGGGAGTAATCGGTACTTCGACAGCTTTAGCACTCAAAAAACTCCGGCCAAATGTACAGGTACGTTTCTTTTTGCCAATTATTGTCAAGATGTATCGAAAGGATGGATGACCAAGTTTTTGAAGTGATGGGTCCCGTTTATATCAAACTGGTACCCAATTTCTCCGTCATCCCCGAGTTACCCTCTCACAGCGCACCTCCCCCACTCAGTGAACCACTTAGTAGAATAGAAATCTAGTTCATTGCTAAACATATAAAAATACGTCGACAAAGCCGCCCTCTTCGTTCGTTGCTTCGAAATTGGGGCACCCTGTCAGAGACCTTTTCGGTTAGCCGTGCCAGGACCATTGACTTTTGAAATGGAAAACACGGGGAGNCTCCCCGTGTTTTCCATTTCAAAAGTCAATGGTCCTGGCACGGCTAACCGAAAATGGCGATGGCGATAGCAAGTGCCTACCCACATTCGCAATACCAACGGATCACTCAATTCTTTTAGAAAGAAACGAGAACGCGCCTTAGGAGCCCTATGAGTGCTGACGACTAGAAATAAGAAGAAGAAACAGTGACTCCATGAAAAGAATAAGAAGCCGGTAGTGGAACCACGCATTTCGGGACTTCCAATTAGGTAACTTGATCTTTCTATGCCAGTTCCGATATAGAGAACCTATTGCTCAACTTCTCTCAATGGTAGTTGGTGTTGACCGACCTATAAATGGACCTTCAGCTCCTCATTAGTTACTGTTCCCATCACTGTTGCCATGAAATACAGGGTTCCTACTCAGCTTTTCAGATCACCATCTTCCATGACAGACCATTCGAAAAGGCATGTTCTGCTATGCCTGCTGGATTGTTTCGCTTTGATAATCTCAATGACAGGTTCGGTTACAGTAGTCATTTTGTGGAAAATACTTAGGTACTGTACGTTCTTGTAGGCTTCACCATTTACTGTAATTTCCAGTCAGAAAATTTTATAGAGTGACATTTTCCAAACTGTCCAAAAGAGACGAGCTACTGAGTAATGTATTGTCCACCAACTTCGTCTCCCATTTCTGATCACTGGGGTCCCCTCTGCAGTACATCATACCCAACTGGCTGCTACCCAGATATTTATTAAGTTTGCCTTCGTTGGTAGCTGTGATTTTACAAGCACTATTGCCTACGTCCGAGAATCTCCATTGGTTTTGCACTTGGCTTTGTTGATTTTTTTTCGAATTTTGTTTTTTTTTTGTTGTAATTTTGATTTTGGATCTTCTTACAAAATTCTTGCCAAATTTCGATTAGGAAAATCTCCAATTTGGTGGGACGGCCTGGTTAGGGTTTCTATCATGGGTGATGGGATTCATCTCATCTTTGTCGAAGGGTTCCCAAGAAGTTCCAGATTGTTGTTTCCAAACGCTGACTTCCTAAAAATTCTCAGCTGAATTCCTTATTTTCTCTAACAAACAACGGTTCCTACTGAGAAAGAAAACCGATGTGTTCAACTTTTTGTAGGTCTAGAAAAACTTAGCAAACTCCTTTCTTTTGTGTGGAGAAAGGGTAAAGTGAAGTTTTTATGTGTTCATTCCCATTTCACCACTTCCGATCTGTGAGAATTCAGCAGCCATTAGGCCACTGCGTGTTTTCCCAATACATAGCTGTGCAACTAAGCGGTTGTGCTGACCGGGGAAGATGGACGAACAATTGGGGAAGTAGCTCAGAGGGCAACATTTCATAGTGGTTATCACGAAATTGAGCGAGCTGCTTGAAGAGCCGATGCAAAGACAACGTTCGATTGGTACGCCGAACTGTGTCGTCAAAAACCTGGCACCGTTACCGGCGTGAAGTTGGTTTCTGGCCATATTCAATCTGACGACATAGAGGCTTTAAAGGGACAGGTAAGACTTATGAACATTTCCTAAAAGATTTACTTTTCGAATAATGGATGCAAGGATAAACATACAAGTAGTGATCAGGACACAACGACAGCAGAAGGGCTGCCACTCGCGTCACTTCAAAACATGAGGGCTCCTGGCTCGGGCGAAATTGGATCCCATGCCACTTGTCAGTCGCTGGCGCTACTTTATCACTGTTCCACCCTTGCATTTAATAAATTTTTTGCTAGTTAACCGAGTCCCTCCCAGCTGATTCTTCTTCTGCATTTTCTAAGAATTTCCTTACTTCAGGAACGTGCTTATGGTGATATTGTCTATAATTTTCGTTATCTTACTGAACGAGAGATTGAAAGCCTGTTCCCTGATCCATCGAGGTATGTGAGGGGAGTAATCCATATCTTCACAACTTTGCTAAATTACTAAAAAATAGGGGTAGTAAGTTCTTGATAGACAGCGGTCCGATCCGAGCTAAGTGATATTAAAGTTGGTCTTCCCCTTAAAAGGACCTTCCGTGTGTACGTTGATGTCTTTTACTCACCACCTTCGAGATTGCCTGTATGGCTCCGGGAACGAGTAGGTTTAGGCTTATCCACTGTACTTCCATGAACACTCTTCACCTATACCTCCAAAAATCAGACATACAAACCCTCTAAGTGTAAGTACACTTCCAGATACGCCATCCATTTCACATCCTATGCTGCCGAAGGAAATCAATATGTACCGTTTCTGAAAAAGCAGTTATTCAGTGCTGGGGTTGTCTTTGTCCGAAGAACAATCAATAGCATTGATGAGGTGAGAGTCTTGTTTTTATTTGTTATTTGTGAGCCCTTGTTGTGACCCATAACCCATCACAGGCGCTGTAGCGCGCACTGCCTGGCAAGGATGGCGGAAGAGGGAGGTGATGGTAGGCTATGATTACGAGCTGCTAAAGCGCTAGAGTTCAGATAGCAACTACGATGGTACTTTGTTCCCTCTTACCTGAGCCGTTTGGCTTTGTAGAAACGTCGTTCCTCAGTCGAGGTCCCATGCTTAGCAGGTTTCCTTTTGAAATTTTAAATCCATTGGGATCCACGTACAATATCAAGATCTGGCCCGAATATCCTCGATCATCCACGGTTCAAGTGACCACTGAAAATGTTATTCACCCCCCCCCCCCCCCTCCTCCCCCACCCTTTGAGCCTTGCTGAGCTTTTAGGGAGTAAAAAGCGGTCCACCCCCGGTCACCCAGTGGTAGGTAGCGTATATATGAAATAGTATCAACTGTTTCAGTTAGCTGAAGAAGGCTTCGACTTCATCGTCAACTGTGCTGGATTGAACGCTGGGAAGCTAGCCGGTGACGATGACGGTGTATATCCCATTCGTGGTGTAGCATTCGAGGTAACCCATTTTGACAGATTGACATGAGGTCGCAATATGTGACAACGAAGCGCACGGCTGCGAAGCGATCGGCATCGTTTGTGTCAAATCTGCTCTATTAGCTAAAGCTCAAGATCGTCGAGATTGTAATGGACCAGATGCTGTCACTGTGATACCATGTATACCCTCAAATGCGGCTGAAGTATCAAAGTAGACGAGTTCACTTATATCGAAACGCGCTGGAACACTTCGCAAATGCTCGCTTCTGTGTCACTAAATGCGGCCTCGATTTTTCTGTGATGATGTGGAGAAGATGAAAGTTCTGACCGCAATCAATACGTACTAGATGCAGTGTCGTTACATTGTATACAGATAACACTGGTGGGTTCCCGAACGTAGTTCTCAAAGATTTTCAGGTCGAAGCACCTTGGCATAAACATTTCAACTACCGCGACTTTTCAACATTTACTATTCCTAAGTAAGTTTGTTTTTTCCATTCGAGCGAAAGGGGTGAAGGGAGTAGGGTAAGGTGGTGGATTGAGTGGAGGCTTCTATCTTTTTCTTTATGCTTGTTGATGGTGAGATATGCTGATGAGCCTTAGTGAAGACTGGTCCCAAAAGCGGTGGGCATTTATGAAACCACTTCATTTCTCAGAAACAATTGCATCATTGTTGGCTCAGTGAAGCAGGCAAATCGTAACGACACCGAAGTCACTGATGAAGATCGACATGAAATATGGGAACGTTATGGAAAGCTACATCCAGCAATGAAGGTACGGAAGCTTTCTTTTCGATTCTCTTAGAGAATGAACTCCAGTATTCTCTGTATGGTGGATATGGTAATTTTACCAAGTCTTACATTGATGTATCCATTGTAATCAATGAAAATGACCACCCAAGATCTCAGGCCATCGCCACCCTTGTAGCAAATCGGAAGGGAACAATTTGGGCCGTAAGGGCGTTAGGTCCTGTCAGATTAGGGGTGCCGCTTACTATCTTCTACCTTAATATGGATGGAAACATTTTCTATTACGGCACAGGTCCATTCATAATTTCAAATTGGACGGGTAGCAATGAAGGGCGGCAAGCTTGACCGTTTTTCCTACTTTAAACTGTAAGGGCGACTCACAAGCAGAGTGGATATTTGCAAGTATTGTTTTGTATTGCACAGTTTGCGGGTTTTCTCAAGGAGTATGAACGAAAAGCTCTCTACAAATTTCACCCTTTCTCTGCCATTTCCTCTGAAGAACGCCTTGTTTTCAGGGAGCAAAAATCCTCAGCGAATGGTGTGGCTTGCGACCGGCTCGAGCATCTATACGTGTAGAGGCTCGGGAGAAGACGACGAAGACTGGGAAGAAATATACGGTACGAAAGGAAGAATCCTTGCTAAAAAGATAGACCCAAAAAGTCGATATGATCATATTTTGCTTTCAGTTAGTTCATCATTATGGACACGGTGGTCATGGCTTTACCATTGGCTGGGGTACTGCTTGTCGTGCTGCAGCTCTCATTGATCAAGCACTGATGGAAAAAGCTAAACTGTAATGAACAGTAGAAGAAGGCATTCGAATTGGTCACCTCATGACCAGTAAATGTGATTATAAATTATTTAAAGCGGTTTTGATGAGATTCTCTGAGTTTAGAACAAATGCCATGGTTGAGTCAGAAATGACGACTTTAGCCTTTTCTGCAAAGTTCTAAAAGTTATGAATTCGCCAGTAGAACTATGGAGAGCAGCTAAGGAAGAGGAAGCTTTCCTCGTTAATCAGTACTTATTTGGATGAAACCTTGCAATCGGCTTTTATTCAGAATTATGTAGTAATCACTGGTAAAGCCTTTGACTTCACAGTCGCTTTTTGGGAAAAGAAATGCATCAATATAAGACAAGATTTATTTACAAACAAATTTGACCAGTACGTAAACTTATTTTCCTCCTCTTCCCTCAACCAGATCTTCGAGAGGAACATTTCCACCATTAGCACACCTACAGCATATGCATGTGTTTCGTCCGTTACGCTTCTCACAGATTCCAGTGCCGCAGTTCTGAAATCGTACAATTTTCATCATATAATGAGCATTAATATAAAGTGAAGGGGACCATAAAACGACCAGGCAACCCCTAAGAATAGAAGGATCAGTCTGGGCGGAACTTAGTCTAGGATCCCGTCCCATGTACATGGTAGCGGAGTCAGCCCAATCCACCTTATTCTGTTAACTGCAGCTAATGGTTCTCGAAGATTCTGATAGATTCTCGAGACAGAAGGACGTATTGAAGCACGTACTTCTAGAGATGCAGTCAACAAACTTGTCCCTCCCAGGTTTCTAGACACTTCAATTTCTTAAGAAAGCGGCTAGTCGACGCAGCTCAAACCTGAAATCTGCAGGATGCGACGCATAAAACTGTTGCAGCTTCTCTCAGAAAAGGTACATCCATTCTGGCACAGGTGGTTAGGTAGAACTGGCTCATCACGATGTCGAATGTGAAAGCCAAGAATAGGCACAGCAAGAGTCGATTCATTCATAAATGAATAGAATTCTGAATGGGATCGATAAAGAGGTCACTTCAATCGGCTCCATTGGAATGCGCCATGCATCTATCATTTTCTGTCTTCATCGTAAACTGTCTCCACACATTTAGCATTTAGCTCATATAACCAACTATTAGGACTGGCTAAGTACTGGGATGATGGGAAACGGTCCAGAAAACAAAAACACTATCTGAAAACAAGGTAGACTTCTTGCTTCCTAGAGAAGTTTCCCATTACCCGCAAAGAACCGATCATGGAGAACATGGGTGTGAAACCAGAGTTGAGGTGGTACACCACAGGTCGAAGGGGTTTTATGGGGGCCAGCTTGTAATTTTTTAATCGAATTTCACACAAACGTAATCTCATGACAATTCTAAATAAACAGTTCGCGGACACTGTACAAACGGTCAGCCACGAAGTGTCCGTAACCGTGTAAAACCCCTGGTCACTGGTGTTTTCGCTGATTTTCGTCCAAAATTGGCATACAATCTAGGATCGCAGCAGCCAGATCATTCACAAGTTCAGCTATGCACAAACTGATCATTAAATATTAAAAATACCACTCGTTATTCTATTTCCGGGTATTGTTGATGTTTATCACAATTCGTGGTTTATGTTTACCTTAGAACCCATTATTGCTTGAAAATATTTGTCAGGTTAAATGATTGATGCGTACCTGGCCGTGATGACATTATTCATCATAATAGAAAACCAGTAAGCGCACCATAGTGATCAGTAGTTGGCCCCCTACAATGATGCTATTCAATAAATGATCCTTCGTAGTGAAATACCCCTCTCATTAGAGGAACTGATCTTTCATGTCTTTTTGGAAGAGTTTCAAGTTCCCTCCTCTCCGTGCGCACAGGAAGCTGAAGTGATTAGCCATTTATAAAGGAAACTTGTCAAAGACACATAGTTTTGAATCAAAATTTAGGTTTGACAACCTAAAGGCCCAGTTCACAATGGAAATGGTTTTTTAAATTTCTTTCTGGGATGAATGTGACCCCCATGGATAGCACAAGAGACGGGTGCTATTTATAAACTGAGGGGCGGCTGCGAAATTCGCTGTGGGACCGCAATACCGTAACCGCGCCGCGCTCATGTGCTTAGTCACAGCTGGCCTAAATTTAAAAGTGAAATGAAAGCCACCAGGACGGGGAAAGGATGGAAGGAAGGGAGAGCAAAACACCCAACACCTTCCTNCGAATGTACAGAAAAGGGAAGGTGTTGGGTGGGCGCTTCACTCGACTGATTGAGTCAAAGACAGGTCTGTTATAAGAGCTCCTTTGAAGAAACTATTCACATTAAATTGGAACTTTAGGCATTGCGCCCTAGTTGAGAAATCGTTTGTGCATGTGCGGGCAGATTTGTTTCTTTTAGGAGTTATCATTTATTATAGGGTGTGGGTTGTGCTACCCCGGGAGTAATCATCTAGTGCCTGTCACTGCTCATACCACAACATGACTTTTGCTTTGAAAGTCCTACATCAAACTAGCAAAAGTTTTCAGAACTCGAATACCTGTTTGTCGCCCTAACCTTACTGATTATTACCTATTACATATTATAACCTGCAGCTGACACCCTACACCTTCCCTTTTCTGTACATTACCCATCCTAGTGGCTTTCATTTCACTTTTAAATTTAGGCCAGCTGCAACTAAGCACACGAGCGCGGCGCGGGTTGTGGTATTGCGGTCCCACAGCGAATTTCGCAGCCGCCCCTCAGTTTATAAATAGCACCCAAGAGACGCAGTTATGTCGAAAAATGGCCTACTTAATGGCTTTAGAGGGACACGAAAATCAGCATACTTACAAAAATACAAGGCTTTAAAAAAATAGTAAAATTAGGCGTTGGACGTAAGTCGCGTTATGATTGCTGTGCGATGCTGTTGACTAATTCACACCCGTACCAACAATAACGTAACTCAGAAATATTACGAATGTCCCAATAACACTGAAAGATTCGTTAAGGAAGGCAGCATTCCTTTCAATCCCTAGCTATATGTATAGTTGTAACAGACGCAAACTTCTAAATGACCCTGTTCTGTAAACATGTGGCAGACTGGCTCAGAGGAACAGAAAATTTATAGAATATTTCACATGATGGAATTAGGGAATCGAGATAAAAAGCTTGGATGAACACCGATGTCGTTATCGAAACATATGCGAATTCAAGTTTGTGAACATGTATTTAAAATGATTTTTCAACAGATATCACAAAAAATGGTTCAAAGGCACTTTCAAATATCTCAGTTATCCAACAAACGCCGCGGCAGTGAGAGGAAAGGCGGAAATTTTCGAAAAGAAAGAAAGTGTATGATATTCAAGGAATAGCTAATATACAAGGAAAAATTTTAATAGATTGAGACATTACAATGATCACCATAACGAGGCACATTTCATTCACTCGCGTTAACTCCATCCGCAGCTAAAAACAAAATTGACGAGAAACAAGGATTACGAAATTTGTAAGGTGCAAGTGCTTCTGCGGAATCAGCAACACTCACCTGCTGGATTTGAATGCGCATTTGGCTCAGCGGATGCGGGACGACTTGCTTCGGAGAATAGAAGGACACTAGAGCAAGATGAAGCGCTACCATTGCTGAGCGCTGAGGTTGGTCGACGAGTTAAGCAAGGTGTTCAGCTGCGAACCTTTTCGCAACTCAGCCCGTGTGTCTGGACATTGCTTACTCTGAAAAATTTCACGGTGATAAAAATAAGATTGCTTTGAAATAGGCATGTATTACGTGAGGGGCGTCCTAGTGGGCGTCGTGGTGGCAGCGTTCTTGGGAACAGCCAAGCGAGCAATCATTACGCGTTCCCTTGCCTTTGTCAAAACTTTCCTGGACCGTGCCTCTGCAGCCGAGCTCGATGTTGCCCAACTTTTACTGTCGAGCCTGTTGTCGAGCCGATCTGAAGATTCATGTGATCAGAAGGCCTAAAAGACGAGACGAGTCCCTCGAGAAAATTTCCAAATGTGAAAATTGAAACATTTGAAGAAGAACCTGCTGCGCTTTAGCGCTTCCGGTTGTCCCAGCTCCAGTACGGGAAGAAATGACCAGGCTTGACGATACAACCGGCTAGTCCTGTTTAGAGGAGATACGACTGGCATCGTCCTGCCTAGAGAACCATGAGTCAGCGTAAACGTTCTATCACTTGACAATCCAACCGAGCTCGTCACGCCTGGAGGACTACTAGGGTTTTTAATAGTTCCAGCACGAGAAGCACTAGCAACGAGACGGCGAACGATTGAGGTGTCTCTATCTGAAAATAGAATTCAAATGAACGCGTAAGTAATAGAAAAGAAATCTCACTATGAAGAAGATAGAAGGGAAAAGGGAACTCACTAGCACTCGTGACAACCAAAGCAGTAGACGCTGCATTTCTAGTATTTCTCGTAGTCGAAGTGGAGCGAGCTATGCTTGGAACGCGAGTGACCAACACACAATGGTATTCGTTCTTGCTCGAAACAGTAGCACTGCTTAGAAACCCGTCTTAATGAGGCCAATTTACTTTGATTAATTTCATTACAATGTTTATAAAAATGTCCTTTCCAGTAAAGCCTACCGAGATTACCAACCACTAACCACTCCTACATAGTATACCTGCGGGTTGCGGGCAACGACCGATGTGCCCAGAGCCATTACGTTGCGAAATTTTAGCTGAGCTACTGGCATTTGTTCGAGGTGCTCGATCTCGGGCACGTCTTTCTGAGCCAACCCCTACTTGGTTAACACTCATCGCGAGGTTCTGAAATAACAAAGACTGATTGAATGGTAGAACGTGTCCAAAACTTGCATGCAAACGCACAGCTTGATCGAATGGTGTAGAGCGAGCCACATCATCGGTTTCAGAACTGAAAGCGGTATTTGAAGAAACCAATAATGTTTGATCGCAAAAAATAACGACATACTTCAATCTGAGCTCTCTGCTGCGCGCACGAGTAAGCGGTCCTCCGGCTAGATTGCGGTCGTGACGACTAGTGTATCAATGAAAGTTAGGGCGGAATGACAGCGGGTGTTCGTGGTGAATTCTCTAAACTTACCTCAATCGGCTGGCAGTGGACCCTGTCGAAGCGCCTACAGTATGGGAAACTTTTTGTTGAAAATTAGGTACTACTCGCACGGGGCTAAAAACTACTACACAGGATAACATAATTGTGAGTTGTTATAAAAGTAACTATTGCGGAGGTAAATTTCCATCTCGAGAAAATAGAATACATCTATATTGCAACTGTATCAAAGACTGAAGCAGTGAAATGTTGAATGAAAGTAATATTAGAACAGCACAAAGATGTTCTACCCCAATCCCGTATTCAAACAGAACGACTTCAATTGAAAAAGATTTAAGAGAACAAAAACAGCATTACGTAGCCGAACAAAACACATTGTTGATTGTGACCCACAAAATATTTGAATTATAGGCATACCCAGGCTTCATTTTTGCTGTGTGCGTGGCAGAGCGATTGGGAATAGTCTCCCTTTTTCTCACACTCACAGAAGTTAAGCGAGCTCCTGCGTTCGAGACCCTGAAGTAAGAAATGGTATCGAAAATATTTCATAAAAGGATGCTAACATAGGACAAATATGGAAATTAAGAAATCGTAAACGTACGGGCCAGTCTGCTGAAAACCAGAAGACTGCACACTTGTAGCAGGCGCTGCAATTGTTCCACGAGTAGGCGTTTGGCGTTGTACGGTATGCCTGCTTGACAATGTCGTGCTTGCCGATGACGGTACTTCACCTGAAGAATATCGGTTTCTATTACCAACAGTAGAAATCATACAAATTTCAAAGTAAGCAGAAAGATCCCAAGACTCACGCTGCAGGTTTGCCACCATAACGGCAAATGGTTATAAGTGCCGGTAATAGTAGAAATTAATTTACCTGCTGCTACTGTTTTCTGTCCATGCTGAATCTGAAATCGGCGAAGCACCCTATTCTGTTTGCCAAACATTGCTAAGCGGCTGAGATCCTCTGTAAAGTAGATTACCAGCGAATTTCAATGTAAATTTCAGAAATCAGCACATTTACCAATGTTTTTAGATGTCTTGGTCTCGACTGGTAGTTGAAGACGATTTCCATCCTGATTTTCGGATCCCTCGGCCTGGACTGTCCGTTGGGGACGGTTTTCACCCTGAAGAAGCTCTGAATTCACTTGGGACACCTAAGAGACAGGTTTGATTGAAGTTAAGAAGGGTTAAGTGTAAGGAAAATATTGCCATGGATGAAAGATTTCAAAATACGGTTTACTTAATCAATTTCAATCCAAATTACTAAAAAAAAAATGCCGTAAAACAGCAGTTAGGGGTCTAGGATTACGAATAGTGATTGAGAACAAATACTTACCCCGTTCTCTGCCACTCTGCTTGCCGCAGGATTCGCCTCGCTGACATCGATGTCGCCTAAATGCAGTAGAAATCTTAGAAAACATTATAAACACAAGTTTAGTGCCACCATTTGCTATCACCGGAAATGGGTGAATGGTGAAGTCGTTAAGAAATATGGCAAAAAAAGTTAATTCTTAAGACCTTTTTCACT